TTCAAATACATTTGCCCATCATCAGTTTTGTCTAATAAATCTGATTTATTCTCGAATAAATTAGTTTGTAACCTCTACTCAGTTACCCTTCAATCATATTCATGTAAAATGGTCACATTCTTCATTTGATATTCTTATGAGTTTAAATGTGAAAATACATTTCATCCAGTATTTTAACCATCAAATCACTTCCCTTTTTAATAGTAATTTTGCGTAATACAGTACTTCAAGTTTATACTTCAGGATAACTAGTACTTCTAAATAACAAGTTCCAGCTGTATATACACTACAGGTCATAAGTTTGGAAGCAACAAATAACAAACAAAGAAACTAAAGGTGATTACAATATTATCCATTCTTCTTAACTGTAGTCCATTATGGATTGCTAAAAACTTTGCTTTCCTGAATAGATATTGTTTCTTGTTTAAAAAGACACTTCAGACAATGATGAGAAAGTTATCTCGTAAGAGCAATGGCAGACCAATGATATCTCTAAATAGTCAGTCACTTTCTTTTTTAATTATCTAAAGTTTTCAAATGAAATATATCCACATTCTATGCTTAGGCTCAAATATGACCCTTTTTTTTATCATTGCAGTATGAAGAAACATAACTTTCATTCTCCATTTCACCCAAAAATATTTTTCTTGCCAAAACATAGGCTGCCTTAAGAATTTAAATACTGACTTTATTTTTATGTCCATTGTAGAATATACCAGCCAGTTATTTTTGACGGTGAACTTAAAAACAAACAAAAAGTTATAGTGTAATTGTTTTAGTACATCATATTTGATGTGTTATTACAGAAATGGAACAGGCTGCTCATTAAAATTGTTTATATAACTTTAAAAAAACAAAAAACTTTTATTTATTCAGATAAATAATTTATTTAATTTTCAAATATCCTAAATTGATTTACCAGCCAACACACCCACTCTCCCGAAAAGATACTACAGACACCCCATATGTCATTTATAAACAAATAGTAGGTATACCAATGGGTGCTAATTATTCAAGCAGTGTTGCTAACTTGGATCTTTACTATTATGAAAATAAATTTATAAATAATTTTTCAAATCCAGAATTATTTTCTCTGACTTATACTATCTATAAGGTATAGATATATTGATGATTTAATTAGCATCAATAATCCATTAATAAGTAATTATATCAGTAATATTTATCCTACAGTTATACAAATAGAAAACACCTCATTATCAAATACTGAAGTACATTATTTAGATTTAGATATTAAGATAATTAATCATTATTGTAATATTAATATTTATGATAAAAGAAATGATTTTACATTTCAAATTTTTCGACTTCCCGCGCCAAACAGTAATGTACCAAATAATGCCATACAGAGCATCATACATTCACAGCTACTCAGGTATTGTAGAATTTGTAACAATGAACAGTTTCTAATTTCCAACACTAATATATTAGGGAATAAATTGATTTTTAATAGATTTAATAAGATAACTCTAATTAAATATTTTAAATTATTCTGTAATATATATATGCAAACTATGTATGCAAATTTAAAAATAATAGTATAAACAAAATCATAATAAACACAATAAGTAATAATTTCTAATTTTTGTAGGGGAATTATTGGAATTACTTATTTGAACTGTATCTTGTATAGGTGTATTAATGTAGATGTATCACTTTCCCTATATAATACCCGCTACTATGTAATTCTTATAGAACTATTGAAGATATTGACAGTTGCATGGATGGGTGGAGGATGGGAGCTATATTAACAATTTAGGTTGGGCTTGTATAGTAATACCTTAACAAGTGATATTTATGTCCAAACATCATTATGGCGGCTGGAATGCCAACTTCAAGGACAGTTTTACTGTCTCCCCCATTGATGTATAAATTACAATTATTGCTTTCTTCTTAAATTTTTTTTTTTTTTTGTAGCAGCCATCTTCCCACATCTGCTTGCGAACAGCGAAAGGTAGTAAATATGTGGGACGTTGTGGGCCAGAGCACCCACATCTGCTCTTATTATTATTAAGAATGTGGACCTGCGAAACTGAGGTTAAACTGAAGTATACGGTGTACCTACCCATAACGCAATTTGGGTCTTACTTTCGCCAGTACCTCAAAACCAGGGCACATTGCATAACCACCCACCTTATGGTGTGTACCCAGGTGGTACATGTCTGTTTTATAGCTACGTTGTTTCTATTTTCTTTTCTTTTTTCTCTTTCATTTTCTTCGTAATATTACGATTAATCATATATACATTTATATCTACCCTTGATTTAGAATTAGCCTTCCTAGAGACATTTCCGTGGACGCTCATATATATATATGGGTATATCTTGATTTAGTTACTTCATACAGCGCCCTGTAGATCAATCTCCCAAGCAGCAGTAAACACATATTTGTATCCGTAATAAATCCCTATTTCAAAGAGAAAGTTAAACAACAATATGTTACAAGACACTATAAATAAAATACAAACTATTCAAAACAAAATACTAACTACTGCATACAGAGTACCAAGAAGTACGTCAGCCAAATTTATATATAGATATTCAAACATGCTCTACATATCTGACAGACTCCAACATATGACAATGAAGTAATTCCGTAAAAATCTGTATAAAAATAACCTTCTAACAGAAATTACGAAATATCTTATACATGATGGAATAGTACCTAAGTGCCTCTCCCCATTAAACAGCTACATTAATTATAATAAATAAGCCACCTACAGTGAGTACTTCCAATATATCATTAGATTAATATATTATGAGTGTATTATTAGGGTATATATATATATATGTAAATACACCAGTAAGTTAAACTGGTGAACAGTGCGCGAGTGGTTACAGAACTGTCAGTGAATGTGCAGGACTATCACACCGATCTAGAATCGGAGAAGTGTTCGCCACACATACATGTTAACAATGTGTTATACATGGAAATAGCTTATAAAAAGGGTCGGACAAAGTATCCGCTAAAATGCTAACTCCGGCCGTCGTGTTAATACATAATTAATATTTACAGTAACTAAAACAAACAACTCTACAGGAGGGGGGAAGAGATCAAAAGTGAACTTGACCACCCCGAAAGGTTGCGACTAAATATCGACACTTATTCTGCCGCTGCTGGTTTTCTATTCTGAACTGAGGCCGCTGACCTTAATTGCCTTCTCCAAGACTGGTCTGCGGATGCTTTCGCACCCGGAAACATTAAAATCCACATACCTAGAAGCAAATCGAACCATAAATCTCTGACCCAAGAATAAATAGAAACTGAACTCGCATTCAACAACATTGAGCACACAAAAACAGAAAGAATAATTTCCACGAAGACGCAAAACCCCACAAAGATGGTAAAAGTATACACGGGATATCAGAGGGTATCAAAGATACAGAGTAGAAGGCACTAAAATACCAGCGGTAGTTGTGATCCAGTGTTAAAACTACCAACGGTATGGGCACGTAGCAGCAGCTTGTAAAGCACTCCTTCGTTGTGTAGGCTGCGGGGGAGAACACCGCCCTAAAACCAACCCACAATCAATCTGCTGCAACACACAGCAAACTATAAAGGATGTCCTAAATATAAGGACACCAAAACACGTATTAACCATACACACACTAACGTAAATCAAACAAATACACCATACATAAAGAAATAACTCCTTTGTTACCAACGCCACAACAAACAAAAACTTACAACTACGCACAGGCAGCACGTACACAAATACAAAATAACGAAATGCATAAACAAACACACAAACCACAGTCAACATAACACAAAAACCACAAGAACAAAACAGTCAAAAACAGACATCAAACCCAATTATTGAAGTTGTCAAAAAAAAAAACGTTTTATGACTTTATTACCCAATATCAAAACTCACAAGAAGATTGCATAACATTAATCATAAATGTCGCTAAACAATATTTCATACCAATAATTCCATACATAATACAACAGTTCATAAGCTCTGCAACACATACAGCACAAGACACAACAAAACAAGAAAGAAAATAAATGTACATAATAACCAAAACAAAACTTGGATAAAATACATGAGAAGGAGATAAATATTAATTAAGCAAGTAACAACCAAATGACAATAGCCAAAACATAAAACCAACGAGAAGAATACGAATTACAATAGTGCAGGAGGGAGGAAGAGTTCAAATAGAACCTGGCCCTTTCAGGTCTTCAAGACTAAATCCCGATGCTAATGCTGAGCTCTATTCTGATTTTTCAAGATACCAACTGAGGATTCGAGGCACGGAACCTGTATGCCAGTGGCCCAGCATGCTGTTCTATCGGACACCTTTCTGCACACAAACTAATTATAAGCATAAAGTCTTTTTGTAACATTTCAATTTTTATTTAATATAAGAGCTTTTTGAAAACACGAAGTAATTCACAATATTAGGATACGTCACAGAAGGTAATAGTTCTTCACATTTTAGTTCGTTAGGAACTGTTTAGGATCATTTCCAGTTTCGGAATATATATTTTAATTTTTCAAAGTGTTTTAGTTTCTCTCTTTATACAGCATTCATATCTTTACCGATAACATCACCTTTTTATGGCCATAACAAGCGACATAACGGTTAAAAACCATTAACATTAGATAAGGCTGATCATTTATGTTTATCTTGATGGATGTTTTCAATATGGCGACACTTCTGGTTTTCAAGGATGGCCTCTAATCAATCGTATTCACAGCAGTCTTTGTATGAATTTCAGTCGTAGCATTCAGTAATAGTGAGATGAATAAAGTTTAGTTTTCAGAAGGTGAAACATACAGTGAAAAAAAAAAAAACAGGGTAGCGATAACAAGAGACGAATAGAATGAAAGATTTGGTTTCATATTTAGTTTTAATTTGAAATTCGCTTAAATGCTGAAGTACGCATGGGTAATAAAAAAATAGCACGTGACTTTAGATAACAAATCAGGTTCCAGATCAAAGCAAAACCAGAACTACATGACGTCACTGTCCAAAACTACAACAGCAAGTTGTATAAAGAAATAAAATTTGCGGTACGTTGATTTGAATTTAGACAGCGGTATGGGAAGGTGGCCTAAAGATGTGGAAGTATGTGATCATGGGCTTTTTTGAATGTAAGTAAACTAACCATTAAAGAGAAAGTATTATTATTTCTCCATCTAAGGAAAAGGTTTATCTTTATCATAATGATTGGCATGTAATAAAATGTTAATATAAATATGTAAACGAAATTTAATTTGTGAATCCTACTTAAGTTTCAACTTTCAGTTTCATAATGCTTCAGTTGTGGTACTAATATTAATAATACTACTATTAGTAGTATTAGGCATATCGATATATTTTCAAATATAAACTTAAAATAAGACCCAAAACTTATTTTAAGTTTATA